GCAGTAATGAGTGATTAATAACCGCAGATTTATTGACGATAAGAACAATTGGAAATATCAAACAATAAAGTAAGAACTAGTAAAAATATGGATGCAGAGTAATAAATACTGTGAAAGGTAACAGGTACACGTTGATGTCAAAACAAAGCAAAAAACACAGGAACTTAGTACAAAACATGTGAGACTTTTTTTACTACGGCACTACAACATTACGTTACTACGTCACTACGACATTACGATATTACGTTACTATGTCACTAGGTCACTACGACAATGCGTTACTACGTGCCAGTTTGGCAGACGCAGAAACGATGATCCAACTAAACAGAAAGTGGTCAGCCTTATGGTTACTTTCTTGAGTACTATGTTCTTGATTGTCTGCCTACTGAGGAATACAGAGATAGAACAGATAGACAGTATAATAACATGCGATATGTCAAGGAATCTTATTAATGAAAATAAGATGTAAGACACATTAAGCAATAGCACTATATTTGTTTTCAGTAGATAAGACAAATTGTTGATCTAAATCCAAATGTACGCCCGTTAACCCATTTGGGGCCAAGTTCCTAGGTCTTTTGTACATCCGTGTGTTCTTGCGTTACCATCCGCTGGATGGATATGGGAAGCGCAATGAACTAGCAGCTTCGGTGGAAAATTCTAAAATCTTCGTCGGTTGGGCGTTGCACCTCAAGAATGGGAAGGAATGGCACATCGATTGACGGAATAAAAATAACCTTTTCATCTCATGGATGGTGGAGGGTGGCTGAGAGACGCGTCTTCGTGTCCCAATGATCCTTGCCTGTCTCCAATGGTTCTGAGTCAGTCTTCGTGGGTCGTAAGAGAGACAGTAGGTTAGGTTAGCTAAGGTTTGTCAGGAAACATAACAAGTGTTTCCTGACGCTGGTCTTAGTCATAAGATGACCCGCCACTGGAGCTTTTTGTCATCTGACCGAAGCCTGCCGCTGGCTTACCGGTCCACCCCTATAAAAATTATAGTAATTATTATAACCATTCTAAACCAAAAAAAAAACTGTGTTCTACCAGTTCATGCGGAGGGGGGTGCGCGCCTTGACGCCCTTAAATTAAAAAAAAAAACTCTTGAACCAAGGAATTGAAGCAAGCCTATCCTTTCTTGTATCAATTTCGATTACCTCCCATCCACCAGGCGTTGCATAACCCTTACGGTTCTACCGCCTCTCCTTGAACATCATTTTAATTACGTCTGATACTCATTTTTACTTTCAGTTACGACTGAGTGTATTATTATTCCATATATTACTAAGTGGAATATTACTTCAGTGCAGAAAACCTGTCTTCCAATTAGAGAGATCATTTTTCTCCTACTTGCTGTTGGTTGGTTTCTGCTCATTCCAACATATTTCGGAAATTTATGATTGGTTGTTCCCTGTTAGTAATATTCACGTATTATTAAACCTGTGTTTTATTACGCTTAATAGAAAAAAAAAGTATCAATTCCATAGCTGTAAAAATTCACAAATAACTCAAACTTAAATGGAAAAACTGATAACGACGTTACATTGTCACAGACCATTGTGCCACAGACCATTGTGCCACAGACCATTGTGCCACAGACCATTGTGTCACAGACCATTATGTCACAGACCATTGTGCCACAGACCATTGTGTCACAGACCATTGTGCCACAGACCATTATGTCACATACCATTGTGCCACAGACCATTATGTCACAGACCATTGTGCCACAGACCATTGTGTCACAGACCATTGTGCCACAGACCATTGTGCCACAGACCATTGTGTCACAGACCATTATGTCACAGACCATTGTGTCACAGACCATTGTGCCACAGACCATTGTGCCACAGACCATTGTGTCACAGACCATTGTGTCACAGACCATTGTGCCACAGACCATTGTGCCACAGACCATTGTGCCACAGACCATTGTGCCACAGACCACTGTGTCACAGACCATTGTGTCACAGACCATTGTGCCACAGACCATTGTGTCACAGACCATTGTGCCACAGACCATTGTGTCACAGGCCATTGTGCCACAGACCATTGTGCCACAGACCATTGTGTCACAGACCATTGTGTCACAGACCATTGTGCCACAGACCATTGTGTCACAGACCATTGTGTCACAGACCATTGTGTCACAGACCATTGTGTCACAGACCATTGTGCCGCAGACCATTGTGCCACAGACCATTGTGTCACAGACCATTGTGCCACAGACCATTGTGCCACAGACCATTGTGTCACAGACCATTGTGTCACAGACCATTGTGTCATAAACCATTGTGTCACAGACCATTGTGTCACAAACCATTGTGTCACAGACCATTGTGTCACAGACCATTGTGTCACAGACCATTGTGTCACAGACCATTGTGCCACAGACCATTGTGCCACAGACCATTGTGTCACAGGCCATTGTGTCACAGACCATTGTGTCACAGACCATTGTGTCACAGAGCATTGTGTCACAGTCCATTGTGTCACAGACCATTGTGTCACAGACCATTGTGTCACAGACCATTGTGTCACAGACCATTGTGTCACAGAGCATTGTGTCACAGTCCATTGTGTCACAGACCATTGTGTCACAGACCATTGTGTCACAGACCATTGTGTCACAAACCATTGTGTCACAGACCATTGTGTCACAAACCATTGTGTCACAGACCATTGTGTCACAAACCATTGTGTCACAGACCATTGTGTCACAGACCATTGTGTCACAGACCATTGTGTCACAGACCATTGTGTTCACAGACCATTGTGTCACAAACCATTGTGTCACAGACATTGTGTCACAGACCATTGTGTCACAAACCATTGTGTCACAGACCATTGTGTCACAGACCATTGTGTCACAGACCATTGTGTCACAGACCATTGTGTCACAGACCATTGTGTCACAGACCATTGTGTCACAGACCATTGTGTCACAGACCATTGTGTCACAAACCATTGTGTCACAAACCATTGTGTCACAGACCATTGTGTCACAGACCTTTTGTGTCACAGACCATTTGTGTCACAGACCATTGTGTCACAAACCATTGTGTCACGGACCATTGGGTCACAGACCATTGTGTCACAAACCATTGTGTCACAGACCATTGTGTCACGGACCATTGGGTCACAGACCATTGTGTCACAGACCATTGTGTCACAGACCATTGTGTCACAGACCATTGTGTCACAGACCATTGTGTCACAGACCATTGTGTCACAAACCATTGTGTCACAGACCATTGTGTCACAGACCATTGTGTCACAGACCATTGTGTCACAGACCATTGTGTCACAAGCCATTGTGTCACAGACCATTGTGTCACAAACCATTGTGTCACAGACCATTGTGTCACAAACCATTGTGTCACAGACCATTGTGTCACAGACCATTGTGTCACAGACCATTGTGTCACAGACCATTGTGTCACAAACCATTGTGTCACAGACCATTGTGTCACAGACCATTGTGTCACAGACCATTGTGTCACAGACCATTGTGTCACAGACCATTGTGTCACAGACCATTGTGTCACAGACCATTGTGTCACAGACCATTGTGTCACAAACCATTGTGTCACAAACCATTGTGTCACAGACCATTGTGTCACAGACCATTGTGTCACAGACCATTGTGTCACAGACCATTGTGTTCACAGACCATTGTGTCACAGACCATTGTGATCACAGGGTACCCATTGTATCACAAACCTTTTGTGTCACAACCATTGTGTCACAAACCATTGTGTCCAAACCATTGTGTCACAGACCATTGTGTCACAGACCATTGTGTCACAGACCATTGTGTCACAAACCATTGTGTCACAACATTGTTCACAGACATTGTGTCACAGACCATTGTGTCACAGACCATTGTGTCACAAACCATTGTGTCACGGACCATTGGGTCACAGACCATTGTGTCACAAACCATTGTGTCACAGACCATTGTGTCACGGACCATTGGGTCACAGACCGTTGTGTCACAGACCATTGTGTCACAGACCATTGTGTCACAGACCATTGTGTCACAGACCATTGTGTCACAGACCATTGTGTCACAAACCATTGTGTCACAGACCATTGTGTCACAGACCATTGTGTCACAGACCATTGTGTCACAGACCATTGTGTCACAAACCATTGTGTCACAGACCATTGTGTCACGGACCATTGGGTCACAGACCATTGTGTCACAGATCATTGTATCACAGACCATTGTCAAGTCACAACTGAAAGGGATGTAGAACTTGCTGACTAAGGAGAAGATCACAACTCTCCACTAAACATAAACTAAGATTTTTCCTAAACTGTGTCAGCTCACCTGTGGAAACTCACCATAAATGACACTGGCACCACCAAACATCATCAAACAACCACATTGATACCTGGAGGGTCAACTTCATGGCCACCTCACATCAGAACAACCTGAACAGGAAACAGACACTTTACACCCATAACTGGAGTATACCTGGAGTATACCTGGAGTATACCTGGAGTATACCTGGAGTATGCCTGGAGTATACCTGGAGAGGGTTTTGGGGATCAACGCCCCCGCGGCCCGGTCTGTGACCAGGCCTCCTGGTGGCTCAGGGTCTGATCAACCAGGCTGTTACTGCTGGCTGCACGCAGACCAACGTACGAAACGCTAAAGAAGAAAATCTGAAAGATTTAAGTGTTAGCTTTGGTTGACATATGTCTAAAATATTAAATATTAAAATATTGTCAACACATGGCAGACTATTTGTGGGAAAGATTTTAGGATTTCAGATAAGCAAAAAAACATTAGTTTTGTCTTAACTAAAGATTGATGCAGAAGCAGCAAAAGTAACAACAGCAGGTACAGCAGCAGCAGGTACAGCAGCAGCAGGTACAGCAGCAGCAGGTACAGCAGCAGCAGGTACAGCAGCAGCAGGTACAGCAGCAGCAGGTACAGCAGCAGCAGGTACAGCAGCAACAGTGGGTGACTAAAGTCTTTTCATTTCCCAGACATGACGACCACCAATTTCGACGACATTCTGAACAAGTTGGAAATAGGACCCTGGAACCTGATGATATTTCTCCTTTGTTCATTGTGTGAGTATAACAGTTTCCTCGTTTTAGTCATTTATTGATAGTATTGTAGTAAAAACACCTTTGTAATGTTGATGTAATAAAATATTGAATGTGCTCCTGTTTAAAAGTTAATTTGATACCTTACTTATACATCATTCCAAACCCATACTGTGAGCGGCAGTCCTTCACTCTGAGTGAGGAGTGTAGCCTTTGTTCCAAGTCATCAATCATCTATGTCTGATCTTTGCCCATCCCCAGTTTTTATAACCTTCCATTTGCTTGGTCTCAGTTCCAACAGCCACTTATCCGACCAAACCTGCAACTTGTCCAGGACCATTTCTAAGTTTTCCTTTTTTTCTCTCCTGGTTTTATTTTCCTCGTTAGCTTCATACCATATGTGAACCAGGATACATCATGTATTCGTTCACCAGAAATAGTAAAAGTCTTTGTGCTGACAATTATGAAACGCCACTGTTTTCAACACCTTGGGTACCCCAGCCTTGAAAGTGCCTAATTCGTAGTCATTTGGCTCCTCTTTCGTTTCTCTTATCTCCTCAAAACTCCAGTGGTTTCTGATTAGCACTGTTCCTTCTAACCCTCCTCTTCCTTTTTTTATCTGCCATTATAATTTGATATCCAGCTGGGAAACTGTAACAGTTAATCATCTCCGGGAATTTTGTCTCTGTGAGCTATGATGTCTGGGGATGTTCCTACTGTTTGTTCCTTCCATTTGCACTGAGGTGCTAAACTTTCAATAGCCTTTTTTGTTACTGTATTCAGTTTATAATGTGTGTGTGTGTGTGTGTGTACTCATCTAGTTGTGGCTGCAGGGGTCGAGTACAGCTCCTAGCCCCGCCTCTTCACTGGCCGCTACTGGGTAATTTTTCCTGCTCCATGGGCTTTATCATACCTCTTCGTAAAGCTATGTATGGATCCTGTGTGTGTGTGTGTTATGTTGTGTGGTGTGTCTGTGTGCGTGTGTGTGTGTGTGTGTGTGTGTGTGTGTGTGTGTGTGTGTGTGTGTGTGTGTTTTGTGTGTGTGTGTGTGTGTGTTTGTGGCATCTGTCTTGTCACTGTGTAATTCCCTAGTTAGGTTGCAGGGTCGGTTATCCCTGTCCCCCCTATCTCTACTGGTCCTACTTCGGTCACTTTCCCTTAACCCTGAGGCTTATCTTACTCTGGGGTAGCTTGTTGGACCTTTTCCTCTCAGTCTTACTGCTTCACCAAATGCCACATTCCAATATCCTAACTATCTGTGGCCCGAAGAATTACCCTTTTTAAGATAATGCTGTTTCTGAGTTTCTAAGCTTCCCATACTAGCAGTTGTTTGCTGTGTCCCATCTGGGGTTAACTCCTGTCTTTGTCCACCTTTCAATTCCTTCAGTTTTTTTGTATGTCGTTTCATGTCCCCCCCATCTCCCCTGTCCTCCAGTGTTTTCCCGGCGTTTTCCCCTTTAACCTCTCCTCGTGGACATACCCCTTTACTCTGGACTAGTCTTGTTGAAACCCTTTGCATTTTCCTAGTTTCTTTACGTGCTTGGTAGGTGGGGGTTCCCAAAAGGGCCCACTACCCCAAATATCCCCCTAAGTATACGGTGTACGGGGCCCTGAACGATCCATTAAGTGTGGAAATGCGTTCTGGGGTTTGCTACGCCCATATCTGCAGCAGTTGTTTGCGATTGCCTAGGGATGTGCCTGGTGTTATACTCACTCCAAAAACTTTTTCCCTTTAATGGGTTTTATCTTGGCCCCCTGACTGTACTCCGTCTGCGGTCTTTTTTGCCCTTTACCAATCTTATGACTTTGCACTTGGTGGGGTTGAACTCCAGGAGCCAACTGCTGGACCAAGTCTGCAGCCTGTCCAGATTCCTTTGTAGTTCTGCCTGGTCTTCGATCGAATGAATTCCTCTCACCAGCTTCACGTCATCTGCTAACGGAGACACTTCGGAATCTATTCTTTCCGTCATGTCGTTTACAAATACCAGAAACAGCACTTGTACTAGGACTGACCCCTGTGGGACTACGCTGGTTACAGGCGCCCACTCAGACACTTCGCCACGTACCATGACTCGCTGCTGTCTTCCTGACAAGTATTCCCTGATCCATTGTAGTGCCTTCCTTGTTATCCCTGCCTGGTCCTCCAGTTTTTGCACTAATCTCTTGTGTGAAACTGTGCCAAACGCCTTCTTACAGTCCAAGAAAATGCAATCCACCCACCCCTCTCTTTCTTGTCTTACTGCCGTCACCCTGTCATAGAACTCCAGTAGGTTTCTGACACAGGATTTCCCGTCCCTGAAACCATGTTGGCTGCTGTTGATGAGATCATTCCTTTCTAGGTGTTCCACCATTCTTCTCCTGATAATCTTCTCCATGACTTTGCATACTCTACATGTCAGTGACACTGGTCTGTAGTTTAGTGCTTCATGTCTGTCTCCTTTTTTAAAAATTGGGACTACTGCATTTGCTGTCGTCCATGCCTCAGGCAATCTCCCTGTTTCGATAGATGTACTGAATATTGTTGTTAGGGGTACACATAGCGCCTCTGCTCCCTCTCTCAAGACCCATGGAGAGATGTTATCCGGCCCCATTGCCTTTGAGGTATCTAGCTCACTCAGAAACCTCTTCACTTCTTCCTCGGTTGTGTGTACTGTGTCCAGCACTTGGTGGTGTACCCCACCTCTCCGTCTTTCTGGAGCCCATTCTGTCTTCTCTGTGAACACTTCTTTGAACCGCATGTTGAGTTCCTCACATACTTCTCGGTCATTTCTTGTTGTCTCTCCTCCTTCCTTCCTTAGCCTGATGACCTGGTCCTTGACTGTTTTTTTTCCCCCCTGATGTGGGGCCCCCAAAAGCTTCCCCCTCAGATTTTTGGGTTTTCCCGCCCCTGTCGTTTTCAAATTTTTGTTGGGGCCCCCCCTTTTTTTTCCGGGGAAAATTATTTTTTGATTCTACAAATTCTTTTCCTTATTCCCTGGGTCCTTTTCCTTTATTTTTTTCTATTCCCTAGCACATTTTTTTTTTTTCCACTCTGCCCTTTGGGGGAATCCTTGGGGTCATCCCGGGGTGTGTGTGTGTGTGTGTGTGTGGGTTTTGGGGTTGTGTGTGGTGTGTGTTTGGGGTGTTGTGGGGTGTGTGTGTTTTTGTGTGTGTGTGTGTGTTTTTGTGTGTGGTGTGTGTGGTGTGTTGGTGTTGTGTTTTGGGGGTGTGTTTTGTGTTTTGAGTGTGGTTGGGGGTGTGTGTGTGTTGGTTTTGTGGGTGTGTGGTGTGTGTGTGGTGTGTGTGTGTGTGTGTTTTTGTTTTTGTTTTTGTGTGTGTTGGGTTTTTGTTTGTGGTGTGTGTTGTGTGTGTTGGTTTGTTTGTATTGGGGTTTTGTGTGTGTGTGTGTGTGTGTTTTGGTGTGTGTGTGGTGATGTGTGTGTGTGTGGGGGTGTGTGTTTTGGTGGTTTTTGTGTGTGTTTTTTTGTGTTTTTGGGGTTTTGTTTTGTGTGTGTGTGTGTTTTGTGGGTGGAGGGGGTGTGTGTGTGTGTGGTGTGTGTTTTTTTTGTGGTTGGAAGGGGGTTGGGGTTTGGGTTTTTGGGGGTGTTTTTGTGTGTGTGAGGGGGGTGTGTGTGTGTGTGTGTGTGTGAGGGTAGGGGGGGGGGTGTGCGCATTGTTTGTGATGCATTCATGTGCTTTCGGCCCACTCTAGGAAAAATGGGGTACCGACCTAGGGGGGGACTACATGCCCCCATTAAATCTAGATATTTTTTTTATTATTATTATTATTTTTAAATTTTTAAATTTTTATTATTATTATTATTATTATTTTATTTTTATTATTAATTATTATTTTTATTTTTATTAAATTTAAAAAAAGAGTGAGAGAGAAGAAAAGGAAAGAAAAACAATTTTCCCGTGTACATATCATCCCACAATTTTTACAAGTAATAAAAAGCTGGAAAAACATAATTCCCAAAAATTTTTTATTATTGGATTTGCATCCCTTTTAAAACCCCACAAAATTTTTTTAAAATTAACAACATTGAGAAGGTGAATTTTTAACCCACGGGCAAAGGAAAAAATTAAAAAAAGGTTTAAAAACGTATAAACTGATTTCGCAAAAAAAAAACTTCACGTCCCAAAAAAAAACTTTCCCAAAAACCCTTTTATTTCAGTTGGTAAAAATGAAGAAATTTAAACCCGTTTTTGGGAAGAAGGCAGCCCTGGGAGGGGGACTAAGACCTGAGTGAGAGAGAGGAAAAATTAAAATTTCTGAAATTAAGTATTTTTCTCTCTCCTCTCTCTCTTTTCCCCTCTCTCGTTTTCCCCTCTCCTCAACCCCCCTCTCTCCTCCTTTTCCTTTTTCCCCTCCTCCCCCTACCCCCCCCCTTTTCCTCTCTCTTTTCCCCTCCCTCTCTTCCTCTGCATTTCAAATACATACGTTTAACTTACATGTATAACTTTTATACGTTCAATGCCCCCTTCCCCAAATTGGAAAAGGGGCAAAAAACCCCCGAGACAGATTACATGTAAAAAATTATACATTTCCAAAAATATTTATATATTATATTATATATATATAATATATATATATAAAATATATATTATATATTTTAAAATATAAATATATATTTTATATATATAAATAAAATATAATATTATAATATTAATATATATTTATAATATATTTTTATATAATATAATTTATATAAAATATTTATATAAATATTTGTTTTCCCCCCCTTGATTGGTGTTTTTTAACCCAAATTTTCAAAAAATTAAAAAACCCGTTTCTTAAAAAGGGGTCAACCCGGGTTGTTTTCAATGGGGTTTCAACAAACCCTTTTTAAAAAAACAACGGCTGTAAAAACCAGTTGCTTATAAGGTTTTCAACACCAGTTTTCTTATATGGCTGTCAACAAAAAATTTTTCTTTATAAAGGGTGTCAACCCCCAGTTGTCTTATATGGCTGTAACCCAAATTTTTTCTTAATTTTGGGGTGGGCCCCAAAACCCCCTTGTCTTAATGGCTTTTAACCAAAA